TCTAAGATTTTAAATTACAATTAACGTCAGAATCGTTCGATAATTCTTAGAATTTATCCGAGAATTTTTCAGACGACTTGCAATTTCGTATGACTAGAGAGAAATTGTAAAGTGATTGGAAATTCAATATGTCACGTGGAAATGTGACGGCGAAAGAATCGTGAAGTTTTTAACAAATCGAAAGCAATTTTTAGAATTATTATGTTATTTTTAACACATGCTGAATCTCGATAAGAATTTCCATATTAATGTTCCGCAAATCTATATTTGCTTATCTGATTTTTCCCCAAAATTTCTGTTTCAGACATCAAAATCAATGATCTACACAGAATAGTTTTACTAGCAAATCTAAAAATTTGGCCAGATACAGATCTAAAAACAATTTTGTTGAATCATCAAAATTATTATGCAGTTTTAAATTTAAATATAATAATTTAACATTTAAATATAATAATAATATTGCAAAGATATCTTCCCAACATCCAATTTGAAAGTTGTATATAATAATTTTAAAGGCCTAACAAAATTATTCAAGTCTGCGCCAAATTTGTCAAAAGTGTTCTTTCCGAGCACGTAATTAACATTCCGAGACCTTTAAAGCTTAAATTGGATAATGTAATTACCGTGATGTAACAGGCCCGTCCGTGTCCGTCAGGATGCGTTATGATATTGGTCGAGAGATAAATTGCGCAAGTACGTCCCAGTATCCAAGCAGATGCGACTCACGTACCGACGGCCGTGCCGTCATCGTAGATTTAAGCGGTATGCGCCGCCGTCTGATTCAGAACGTTATTTAAAATACGGAGGAGCGGAGTGTGTGTCGGACCGCGCGCGGTCGTGTCAATACGATGCGTCAGAGCGTGACGGAATCTCCGACGTATTTCTCCGGGATGCTGCACGACTGCTGTCCGTTCCCCCTCGCTCGCAGGCCGCGGTTTTTCTTCTTTCCGAGAAACGTCGTTGAAATCAATTTTAAACGTGTCGCGCGACACGTACAAATTACCGACGTAAGGATGAGAAACCGACTCGCGCTCGCGCGCGCGTGCGCGCGCGCTATCCGCGGACTCGCTTTCCCGAATTAACAATTATGGGAACGTGAGACGGATAGAGAGGATCCTTAACGCTACGCATGTTGCGTTCTCTCCTCCGAAGTTTTCACCGCGCCGTACGGCCGTGTTGGCCTTTACGCTTTTGAGATCCGCGAGAAGGGATTCGGCATTCCAACACATGTTGTCGCACATACATTACAGGTTCCTTATTATTTGTTAATTAAGATATATGTAACAACTAATGAAGACTTGAATATTTGAATAAATTAGGAATTTGAGTCGGATAAATCAACTTCGAAATCGTTTAATCTATCATTCCGGCTGTCTGGGACAAGCGAGTCTTTTAAAACGAGACATTATATAATTTATAATTGAATTTATAATTTAAGGTTCTAAATCTTATATTTCAATGCTCATTTTATTTCTTCAAGAAAAATGGTTTATTTTATTTGTCATAAAAGGAAAGGAAACGTCATTTAAATTACATTTAATTAATAAAGAGGAGACAGAATTCTCAATAAAATTCTTTTTATATTTAGCCAGATTTTTACATATTTCAGCAAAACTGTTGTAGTGAAATTGTCGTATTTCCAATACGTGTACATTAGAAAAAACTGACGCTTGAATTGCTTTGACAATTTCATCACAGCGAGGATAAGCGCAATATTCCGCTTTTTATTGCGGTTTGGTGCAATACGGTCTCTACGGAAATCACGTCAAGGACTGACATAGGATTTACGTAATTTTCAAATTCCTTGCGCGAGAAGCGCGAAAAAAAGATTACGTCGGCGCGGCGGATGGCGACGATAATCGCGCACTTCCTAACGGAGGGGCATATTTTCGCGGACATGGCGGACAATACGGTAGTTTTGCGAGGGGGGGAGAGATTTCCGGACTCCTTTCGATGAATGTGCACGGTGCCAGAATACCGTTGCTGCTGAGAAAACGTCGCGCGACGACAATGCCGGGCAACGTCGATCACTCGATTACCATGAGTTCTTGCTCTGTCTTGCTCTTTCCAAATTGCATCGCCTTATATCGTTTAGTTACAATTTCTATACGCATCACGGATCGAATGCAATCGCACACACATGAGTGAGTACTAATTTCGAGAGAACATTGGACGCAACGATGCGAGAGATGTTTGACTTTGTGATTAAATAAAGGAGCTAATTGGAAATTTTGACAATATGATAATTTTCCGACAGTAAGATTAATATTTATCATAAAATTATTGAAAGAGATGATGAGTAGAATAATGAGTTTCCGAAATAATTTTCGCAAAATTATAAATGAATAATTTTGTTGGGGCTTTAAAATTATTATATACAACTTTCAAATTGGATGTTGGAAGATATCTTTGCAGTATTATTATTATTATATTTAAATGTCATACATAATAATTTTGATGATTGAACAAAATTATTAAAAAATTGTAACTTAATTAATATTACAAACATGATTAGAAACCTATTTCATTATTTTATTTAATTATTTCGCAATTAAATTTACGAAAGTAGAATTTTTGCTATTAAATAGTTTTTGAAATCTTTTAATTTTCTCCTTTTCCTTTTCCTCTCTACTTCCCACCTTATTCTATGCTTGATCAATTGATTGCGAATGATCCTCGACTTACCGTGGAGAAGGCAATCGACCGGACTCCTAATATTCTCGACGAGGTCCTCCTCCTTAGAGGCACTATGAATCACTGTGAATCACTGAGTCACCAACTGAGAGACGCGAGAGAGACGCGGAGTTTAGCCACGGCGAAAAATCAATCGAAGGGAAAACGTCTCGGGAAACAGGCGACGGGAGAGAGACGGCCGACCGTGCAGACGGATGACGAGCGAGTGAGAGAATGATCGGAGAAACCGCCAAGATCAGCCTCTTCGCCGAGGACGAAGGAAAAGGCGAGCATCGAGTTCGCGTTACATTCGACAGACCTCCCTTCGACATCGCGAGGCAAAAAAAAAAAGAACGCGAGACAAGCGAATGGCCGATGGCAGAAAGAAGAAGCTTACGATATCTCCGAAACAGTGCCTTGCATTTAAGCATTTCAGAACGATGATTCGATAATGATGAGATCGCATCTTGAAATAAAATCCACGAGATTCAGGAAAAGGCTTATCGACTTTATCGCTTTCATCCGGCTGTAAATAGTTGATACTTGGTAAAATGTCGTTTGGAATAAGTATTAATTTCACGTGATTTCGTATCTCTCGATTATCTGAAATATACCGAGTATTCCTATCTGAATTACTTCCTTTCGCTAAAATTCATGAATTAATTTTAAATAAGTTTAATTTTTCGAAAATGTCAAGACATTTTAATCACACGTAATTATACATAATATCGTTGATATTTTTCAAAATTAAACTAAAAACGCTACAAAGGAGACCGAAAATAAAATGTTTTTTAAATAAAATATTTTTACTAAAATAGTTTTTGTTAAATATACACGAAAAGAATAGCTTTACTGAATCTAAAAATTTGGCCAAATATAAATGTGAGAATAATTTTGTTGAACCATTAAAATATTTATATAGAATGATGCAAATCGTTGGTTAGAATATCAAAAAATTTGTAATATTATCATGCTTAAGCATCCTACATGATAGTTTTAATAGTTCAACAAAATTATTTTCAGATTTGATCAAATTTTTAGATACTTCAGCAAAACCGTTCTTCCCGTATATATTTTAAGATATTCTTCGTATATCATAATTATTTACGTTAAAGTATAATTAAAAAAATATCTAGCTGCAAATATGTCGTTCATTTTTACACGGTTGAATCTATCGGCATTATTTCTCTGCAAAAGACAAAAACAAGGAACAGCACGTGTCAGCTGCGTCCCTGCACGAAATTGTAGTAATTTCTCGTTCACCTGCTGCTTCAGCTGTTCCTATCTCTTCCTGCTTTCTCATCTCTCGTTGGAAAAAAAGTAGCTCAACTTATACGAGAAAAGAATCAAACGTCGAACAATTCGCGTAAACAATGGATTTGTCGAAACCGGCGGCGTACGCTATCTCATCTTAACCAGATCATCTGCGGATTTCGCGCAGAAACAGAGACGAAAAGATCGACTGATCGGCTGGAGAAATGCGTCGCGTAAAACGAAAACGCTACGCAAATTTTGTGTCGCGTTCGTCCCGGAATCCAAGAAACAGAGCATGACAAATAAAGGCCGACGAATAGAGAGAGAGAGAGAGAGAAAGAGAGAAACTGGATTACAAAGAGATTCGTCTTTTCTAGCACAAATTCCTCGACGAAACGACATCGTTTCCTTTACTTTCTCGTCAGTGATACGGCAATAAAAATAATTTCGGCTTGAATTTTTTGCGAGAGTTTCGTTTATCATTCAAATTAAATCTCGTATCGATCGATGTACGTCGAATACGTGCGCGTCGTGTACGTATCGAACGGTGATATTGGATTTTCTCCTCGTTATTCCTCAATAAGAAGTTTCATTCGTACTTCGCGATATCCCAAGAATTTATTCATGAAAAGTTATGGCGATTCACGCGAAAACAATTAATTATTTCTTCATAAATTATGAAAAAGAATTATCCGTTGCACTTTGAAGAATGTTCTTCGTCTTGAATGTTGAACAGCATCTTAAATAGACCGTTCAAAAATTAGATTACGTCTAAGGCGTCCGAGCACTTTTTAAATCTTTAATTTACGGCATAAAGCAGCTTTCTTCCGATTGACACATTACATTAAAATTGAACGGGAAACGGAAAATAAAACGAGCGCTCGCTAAATAACATTTCGCGAGCGCGATAGAAACGAGAGGAAGAATTACCAGTGATAAATGGGAGCGAGTCCTATTCGAGAGTCGCGGATTTAAAATTGATATACTGCCGAGCTTTATTGTGTACGAGGTTAACAGTTTAAAGATCGTTATTTATTTTTAAGGTAAATAAAAAATATATATTTTGTACTCACAAGGGTTTTGCAGCACCTGCCGGTAGACGCGGAGCGCCGCGGTCCTCTGATCCACGTAATCCCATAATCCGTCGCAGGCGATTATGAGAAAATCCTCGGTTCCGTCTAGAGTTACGCATCGAACCTCGGGCTCGCCGCTGATGTACGGTTTATACGGGACATCGCCTGTAAGAAAAAGAAGGAAGGAACGTCCGCTCCGCTGTTAAGAGGCACGCGCTTGCGGAGAGGCTTAGGCGCGAACGCGAAAAGCGGAAAGGAATGTTCAGCCCCGAAAGTATGCGATTAAGATTGGAGCGGAGGCAACTGTTACGGTTTGCCCATTGGTAAAGCCGTAATTCAGATATTTTACACGTGAAAAACACGCCACGCGGCGCGCAATTAAGTATAATTAACTGTTTAATGAATAGAGCGGCTAATTTAAATAACGACGCCACTGCAACAACGCCGCGCTTCCGGTTATTATGAATCCGAACGCCGCTTTTTCTTCCATGCCTTCCTCGCGAAATCACTTGATGCAAATATATATGCATAGCATGTGCACACACACACACACACACACACACACACACACACACACACACACACACACACACACACACACACACACACACACACACACACACACTATATATATATATATAATAATATACACGAGAAAACGTTTGCGTCACGCAATCGAGTTATCTCATTCACGATGATCCAAATTAATTTTTACAAATTCGTAATAGACTCTTCAGTTTTCGTTCACAGCATCTCGTTGCGGCAACATTATTGCGAGAATTAATTTCAGTTAATTAAATCCACCAGAATAACGAGTCTCATTAAATCGGGCTTGTTTAATTCACGCCCGATGATACGATCGGACTTTTATACGACATAATTTGAAGGGGAATAGAGAGATATAAAAACGAGTGAAACAAATGTGAGAAAAAAAATGTCGCAATAAGAACCCCCCCCCCCCCCTTTTTTTTTACCGAACGCGCGCAGGGTCATCTTGATCCCCGGGGCGCGTTGGAAGATCAACGCGCTGATGAACCTTCGATATGTCGACTCGCGAGCCCTTCATGTCTAAAGTTAAGCGGGAATGAGAGAAACAGTCTTTTAATTATTCCGGACATGCGATTGTGCGAGCCACACTCGGCAGAGCGCTCCCGGAGCGTAACTGCACGTACTATTGTGTCAGCGGGCGAACGGAACCAACAGGATACTCGACACGCGGTCGGAATTTTTTTTTTTCCTTTCCTTCTTCACCTTTGCAGGTCGCGTCTTGTAGCCCGTAGTTGGACGCCCGTTCCTTACTTGGCTGCACCCGCGAACGCGACTCGCGTTTCGACATCTCGACGTCTTCGAATACCTGCGACGAGTAGCGAAATATACGCGATTATATCGGCCAATAATAAACTCTAATTCTCCAATACAGGGAAAGCTGCTCGCGCTGATTACGTCAGTCGGAAAGTAACGTTTCCGGCGAACGTTGGGAAATGAGTATTATTTCCGTATTATTTCTGATGTGATAATTTCGAGAATCCATTGAAAGCAATATCCTCGATTAATCCAAACCTCCGTCTTTTTTCGTCTACATGCGCGGAATCGAGATTTCGCAAAGCGTGAAGAGTGAAAATGTTTCCTCAATCGCGAAGGAAAATGAAAATCGAAAAAGCATTTCCGTATAAAACATTCGATGCAATCGTGAGTATATTTTCGCGGTAAGCTAGATTAATTAATTTCTCAAGCTAGAAAAAATTATTTTATTTTGTTATCTTCAAGTTCTTCTTAGAAATCAGATCTTAGTGAGATTGCGACTTGTGAAGAAAATTTATATCGATATCTTTTATCGGTATATTTAAAAAGTGATATGAAATTCCGAGATTAATATTGACTTTTCCGACGACTTTGAGTTCTCAGTGAGACTTTAAACGACGTATCGTTTACTGTACTATCATCACGATTGACTACAGTGTCGCTGTCTCCATCTGTACGTTAATATCGTGTCTTCAACGCGACGAAGGCCGACTGGTAAACGCGATATGAAAGTTTTATTGAAAAATCTGATTGTACCTTTAGTGACTTTGATCAAATTTCAATTAATTTAATTGGCGATTAATTCAAAAGATACAATTATTTAAAACAGAAATTCTCTGATTATATAATTCATCATTTCTAATCTAAATTTCTATTCTACGTCTCTTTTTATATATCAAACAGTAAACAATCAATGATTCTATTTATATTAATGAAATACTATAAATATTTTTTGATGAGTTAATTGTTGACTAAGTTAACTATAATTTGATCAAAGTTAATCTTAGATCTATTCAATTGTTTAACATAAATAAATATAACGTTTCGTTGCACGGAAAAAATTTTGTTTTGTCATGTTCAATGAATTTTCATATTTCTTTGCAAAAAAGAGGATTTGTATTGCAGTCACTTACCAATGGCTCGAGATATACTGAGAAATCCGTTTACTCGCAAAACACCCATACAATGGACGACGACTCCTCCCATATTGCGAATCCGCTCGCTCTCGTCCTAGCAGGAAAAAGATCGAGACGTATAGTAAATAGGACACATTGTACCTGGCCTCGATAGATCTTGCACATGGCATTGTCAATAATAAAGAGTCAGGAATAATATTCGCGTGATAACATATAGATGTCAAACGTGTCGATACTTCGATACTCTCGCTTGGAGTTACGTTTCACGCGTCTCGATTGTTCACAATACAGAAGACTCCGAGCATCGATGACAACGTAAAATTGCCAGTTTAAAAATAAAATCTCTCTTTCTCTCCGAACATGACTGTCATCGGGACGCAGATTGACAGCGACAGAAGATTGCTGGATTTTCGAAATTACGAGGAATATTTAGACTCGCTGGTGACGCCTGTAGATATCTATTACCTCAGAAGCAGTAAAATCGCGCGTCAATTAGCCGAGCTCGGTTATCGCTGCACTGGCGAGACTTTGAGCGAAAAATGCTTTTATCGTCGCTTACAAATCGTGAAAAATCTATTGTTTCCTGTTCACCGGCCTTACGAACTCACATCGGAATTTGTGTCGTCCGTCGGTAGGTTGATGGAGGAGCTCGCCCTGCGCGAACGAGCCAACAGATTAAGGATTCTGTCAACCATCATATTCGTTCGTTGTTCCGTAACAAAATTCGAGGAATCAGCTTACATTGATTTTGAAGACCGGCTCAAATTGGAAGATTGGCTGCCGTATTATCGAGGAGAAAAAAAATTGTCGCCTCTTAAGCGAGATCTCGCGTACTATCATTGGAGATCGGGGAAAACGTGTTTGAATGAAACCCGTAATTATGTGCCGATCGTAGATCCCAGACGTGGCCTATTGTTTAAAAATATTCACGATAGACGAATGATCACGGTTGATCCAGCTGCTGCGTCACCCGGTGTACAAACGACACGAGTTCGAATACCTTGTCCGCATTACGAGCATGTAATATTGTACGATCACGTGATCAGAAGCAAAATTATACAAGAAAATTAGAACGTCAATATGTTACTACGTTGACTAGATTTTTAAATATAAAATTAATCTGCGCATGTATTTCCTCATTCAAGGACATACAGCAACAAACGAAGAACATTTTAATAAACATAAAAGTTAAAATTATAATCTTAGTAATTTATAAAAAAGATCATTTATTCATATCTCGTCATTCCTTAGCTGAAGTCAGACTTGTAATGTAAGCTGGTCAATATTGACGGACTAAATTATTTTTACTCCAAGAATTATCGACGTACGGTTATAAATATAAAATTCATCGTTCATCGCAAGAACGGGATATTTTGAAGACAATTAAGCACATATTTAAACTTATTAAATATAGGAATGTTATATCAAAAATGAGATTACATTATACGTTTTCATTTTATTTATTAAAAAAAAAAAAAAATAAGAAATCTTGATTACTTACTTCTCGTGCGGGTCGATGAGGATTCACCAATTGTTTTACGTTGCCGCCGAATGTAACCAACGAAGCCATGGAGTCGCCGACCCAAGCGATGTATAATTTTTTATTGATCAACAACGCGCAAACCGCGGTGGTTCCACCGTTTAATTTCTGTAATAAAATGCGATCGTTAGTATCGGTAAAACATAGAGAGCGAGTTGGGATATACGATATTTCACGCAAATAACATTTACCTGCGTACTTGACTTTGCTATAAATTGCGCATCGGTAGTTAAGAAGGCATCGCGCAACGCGCTTTCGGGATCTGTGGGATAGTGCACACTCTCGACCAAATACTGATGCAAATGAGTCGCGCAATACGCCGCGGCATCCTGTCCGCCGTGGCCATCGAACACGGCGTAGTAATCCACAATTGTATCATCCTGTAAAATATGATATTTCATATCAACTCGTATGTTAATGCATCGACATTGTCAGATCGATTTTGACTGTAATTGCCAATGAACTTTAATCAAAATTAATGTATATTTTTTCTCAGGAAATTTTTTTCTTTTTATGTATCAGTTTGTGAATGGGATTGTCAGATTTATACCTGAATATTAAACATGGTATTTAAGTCGTGCAGGATCATGTGGCGATCTTCCATTTTTCTTCTGGCATTCCTAATAGCACCTACTGTCACTTGTGGCGTGGACGAAGGCGGTGGCAGGAGGGCTAGCCTGCTGTTATCTAGATACCGCCTGCAGATCTCGTTCACTTCGTTCGTGACGGCTTGCATAAGCTTCAAAGGCGCGTACGCTGCAAAAAACAATTCATCGAAATTATTAAATAATTATCTTGATCATCATATGAGTCATTCACTTTAAACGTAAATGCATTTTCAAATTTTACATATACCATATCTATTAATCATGTTAAAATCATATTAATATTTAAATGGCTTGTTATTTTGTGGTTTTTGCAAATATTTATCTAAAAATGTACGGGACTGCAAAACCTTACTCTTTTCTTGCTGCCTCAGTCCGCAGATTTCCGGCTGTTTCTTGCATGTTGATTTGATCGCTTGTATCACGAGACGTGCGATGTAAGACTGTAAGCTTGGTGGACAGTATCTGAAACCAATCGCACTCTTATTACCTTTGTCATTGTTAGTTGCGAGAAATATTTGAAACCATGTGATTTGAAATATGTGATACGAAAACGCTAGATTAAATTCATAAGCATTTGATTAATTTAGATGCAATGTTAAATAAAAAAAAAATGTTTAATTAAAAATTAAATATCAATGTTTAATTAAAAAAAGACATGTGTCATTAATGTCTTTTTAGTGATAATTTTTTAAATAATTATAATTTATATCTTTTAAACGATTGGAAACAAATTTGCAAACTGAATTTTCGATAAAAAGAGACTAAATATAGAAAAAAAACTTTATATTTACAAAAGCAATATATGATAAAATAACATGACTCCTGTGTTAAAAAACGTGTCAATTAAAATTTCTGTGTTATTTAAATATCCAACATTCGTGTGTAAATTTAATATATGTCATGATTGTTTGCGAATTGTTTTTTATGATTTTTCTGTTTTTAGCTACACAGCTACTGAAAGAATTAAAAAAAAATATTAAATAAACACAGCTATTGAAAAAATTAAAAACACAGCTATTGAAAAAATTAAAAAAAATATTAAATAAACACAATTAGTTAAATATTAAATAAATAGTAAATTAATAAATAATTAGTTTCACACGTTAAATATAATTTAATTTTAGAAGATTGCATTCATTTTATGTTGAAAGTACTAACATAGTATTAGTGTTATAATCATGCTAATTTAATATCTCCATATATTCAATTAATACACAAAAAGTTTGAGTAGTCCGTTTGGGGAATGCAATGTCAAATTTAACATTAAATCTTCTTATCGCATACGTGTTTCCGATGTTTTATTGTTTGATAAAAAAATCTTACTACTGTCTTTTCAATTGCTTTATACATTTTAAAATAAAAGAAATAGATACTTCGAATTTTCCACAGGAGAAGAAAAGGGGAAAAAGAAAAATCATAAAGAAGGTATGCACAAAGTGTAATAAAAACATTTGAACATTCGTAACGTACATGAGTATTTTTTGAGCGTATCGTATATAGTTTATCCTTTCCGTTTGGCGCGTGATAACGACGACGATGGGCGGTGATAGTCTCGTGACGGTTTCAGTTAAAGCAGATAAACGCGGCGGCAGCGCGGAAGTGGCTTTCATCTCGCGACGATTCGGCCGTTTCGCATCTTCGCAGAACTCGCGATGCGAGAGGGCAAATTTCTTACGTAATCCCACCGTAGCACGTTTTCCGTTTCGTGCGATGCACCATGCAGCTATGCGTAACTTTTTTGCGTGCCTGCCTCTTTTCCACGCCGCGCACGATATTCTCACGGCTCTAAAAGCGCTCGACCATTTTGTAGATACAAATTGCGCTACGGTACAAATTGCGCTTATCGAGACCTACAGGAGAAAATATTTTTCGTAACTTTCTCGGATTTCCTCCCGTATGAAAATGGTTCTATTGCAATAGTGCCAATTCTATATATATATATATATATATATATAAGGTGTTCCATCCAAAAATATGCTTTTTATCTGTCTGCATAATCTATGTGTTTTTTTTTAGATGAAAATTTTCGTATTGACAAACTATTCTTTATTTATACAAAACTATCAAATTTTATTGAATATATATAAATAAAATAAATAAAGATTTAATAACCAAAGCATGCGAATATATTTTTTGAGACACTCTGCATCGAATCTTTTAATCTTCCATTTAATCTTCTATTTTTTCAATCGTTCTTAAAATATTAATTATACTGTCACAATAATTCTATAAAAAATTTAACATTATTGACACACAATCTTAACTTTTTTATCTTTTTAATTAATTTTTTCATATTTCTTAATATTATATCTGTTAAAATATTTGAGTAATTCTATGATTAAAACGAGTTCGTTATCTAAAGTAATACAAAATCAATCTTGTGAAGAGAACATTTAATACAAGAAACGTGATTTCTCAGATAACGGCAAATCAGCAAAAAGAAGAAAAAAAAAAATCCCATCACAATCAGCAAAATCAGCAAAAGAAGAAAATTTGATCGGGAATAACACGATCGTAATCAGTATTGTCGAATTAAAAATCATGTTTTTGCAAATATTTCTCTTGCAAAACGATCAAATGTAAAATTATTTCCATGAAATTCTCATTTTATTTATGGAGCATTGTCGCGAGGGAAGTGTCGCGAGTGAATGAATGGACACGCAAAAAAGGATTACATGCGTAACAGTATGTTTTAGGAATCTACATAAAAGTTAAAATTGACTGAGGTATTATTTTTCTACTTCTATTTGTAAAAATAACAAACTACCAACTAAGCCACGATCCGATTCAATCAATATTTATGAAAAAGACTCGAAATTGAGTTAAAGATTTAGTTTCCTTCACTAATATTTTCCTTAGACATTCCAAATTTGTTGTCCAAGTTAATAATCTTAACCTTGTAGGCACAACATTTTTAAAGCATCGCGTCTCGCCATGCGCGAAAACATGCAAGCTTTCGGCATCATGAAATGTCAAGTGTAAACATACATATATATACACACACATATATATATACTCTCTCGTACGAGATACGTGACAGCGCGCATCACCACTCCCACAGATGATTAATCCAAATAACAAACGTGCTTACATTCGATTGAGGTACTGTAGAGTCACGCTGATGATCTCACCGACGAGCTCGCTCTCGTTGACGTCGTAGACGCTCACCTTCACCGGCAGCTGATCCTCGGGGTTCACCCTGGCGACGAACTCGGCGAAGAACCGCGAGTACTCGCCGAGGTAGTCACCGTCCGCGACGCAGTCCGCGGCCATGTCGCTCGTAAACGCTCGTAAAACGCACGTGCCGCGGGGAGCAACGCGCGACGCCACGCCACGCCACGCCGCTCTTGCTTCGCTTTTGCTCCCGCTTCGTACCACGCCGCTCCGCTCTGCTCTGCCCCCGTTTCCGCCTGTGCGCGTCGCGTGCGCACTACACTACGCTCCGCGTTCGACGCCACCGGACGGTGTGTTCACGGCTCGTAACGCGGGACGCGTGAATAAGTCGCTGTCACCACACTATTCTCCGCGAGCTGCGGAGTCACGAGAGGCGGCACGTAGCGCGCGACCGATACGCGATATTTGTATATATAGGTTACGTCATTCATTCAGCGGAACGTCCCGCGTCGCACACCGTCGCGCACTCGACAGTCAACTATGGACGCGCGACATGGTCCGGTTAAACTGCAGACGCACGCGGTTACATACGTAACGTACGCACGCTAGCCCGCACGCACGCACGTATACACGCGAGCGTACGCGGAAGGAACAAACGTACCGATTACGAAGAGAGATGGAGAGGGGACGTGAGAACGCTTGAGAGAGAAGGGTGGAAGGGACGTGCGCGCCGCGTTCGAAATACATCAGGCGTACATCGCACGCTCGTGTCTCACGCGATTTTGCGATTTCCTTTTCCCAGCGGCGCACTTCGATTCTTCACAAGGAAAATGCACTAGACGGTCGGTCAACGTATTCGTCAACGATTATGCAAGTTTTCTTACCGCGGCCTCGCCGACGCAACGATTTTGCGACGTGTCACTCGTGAAGTTCTGCGCCGTCGTTCGCGGCCAACAATTCAAGGAGGACAAATCTCGCGCATGCGCGCTCGCCAAGCGCGCTCTGCATACGACGCTTCGCGGCGACAAAGAAACGTTGCTTTCTCCTACGGGAAATGTTGACAGAGAAGCAACAGAGAAATCAAGTTTCCAAATTTCTGAGTTTTATCTTTTTCTTTTTTTGCATTTTCTTTTTCTTGATTATCGAAAAAGTCAAACAATACGTATTGTCCCATGTATATTGCTCCAGTCCTCTTCTTATACGAAATATTATCCAGTCGATTTCGAATGAAGTATAATTTGAAGATGTTATTGTGACAGATTTTTGTACTTTTCTTGTTGAAAGTTTCTTAAGAAATTATAAATAGCGGTACAAATAACTCATTAATAATAGGAATTCGTGTAATAGATTTCATGCAGTTAGCTTAT